TTGACTTGGCCATTCTAACACCTGGATACGTCTATTTGTGAACCATTCCATTGTAGATTTGGCTTTATGTTTTGGATCATTGTCCTGTTGGAAGATAAATCTCCGTCCCAGTCTCAGGTCTTTTGCAGACTCCAACAGGTTTTCTTCCAGAATGGTCCTGTATTTGGCTCCATCCATCTTCCCATCAATTTAGCCATCTTCCCTGTCCCTGCTGAAGAAAAGCAGGCCCAAACCATGATGCTGCCACCACCATGTTTGACAGTGGGGATGGTGTGTTCAGGGTGATGAGCTGTGTTGCTTTTACGCCAAACATATCGTTTTGCATTGTGGCCAAAAAGTTCGATTTTGGTTTCATCTGACCAGAGCACCTTCTTCCACATGTTTGATGTGTCTCCCAGGTGGCTTGTGGCAAACTTTAAACAAGACTTTTTATGGATATCTTTGAGAAATGGCTTTCTTCTTGCCACTCTTCCATAAAGGCCAGATTTGTGCAGTGCACGACTGATTGTAGTCCTATGGACAGACTCTCCCACCTCAGCTGTATTTATCTGCAGTTTATCCAGAGTGATCATGGGCCTCTTGGCTGCATCTCTGATCAGTCTTCTTTTCCCGACGTTTCGTCCTCAATCCTAAGGACTTCTTTAGGGAATGAATTCTCAGACCGCGCGTTGGAGATTTATAATCTATGGGTCTCCACAACAGTCTCTCGGACCTGCCTGGTGTGTGTTCCTTTGTCTTCATGGTTCTCTCTGCGCTTTAAACAGAACCCTGAGACTATCAAAGATAAGATAAGATAAGAATTCCTTTATTTGTCCCACAGTGGGGAAATTTCGATGTTGCATCGCACATATAGGACAGTAGTAAGAACACACAGGGAGCACACACAATATATACAAATAAGTCGTAGCTATGTTTCTTAGCTAACATAACTAGCTGTAGATGCTGAAATGCTTCAATACCATGTCAAAAGATATATGTAGTAGTGCAGTTATATACTGTACAGTTAAATAGTGCAGGATAAAAAGTATATAAGTAAAGTGACATGAGGTAAAGTGACATTGTTCTGTGACATCCTGAAGTTGCAGTATTGCACATTGCACATGATTTAAGAATTTACTTAGTTACAGATGAATGAAATTTACAGGCTCAGCAGTACTTATTGTACAGTCTGACAGCAGCAGGAAGGAAAGACCTACGGAACCTCTCCTTCACACAGCGAGGGTAAATTAGTCTGTCACTGAAACTGCTCTCCAGAGCAGAGAGTGTCCTGCAGGGGGGACAGTCATGGTCCAGCATAGATGTTAGTTTGCTCAGGACCCTCCTGTCCCCCACCTGCTGCACTGTGTCCGGGGAACAGCCCAGGACTGAGCTGGACTTCCTGATGACCTTGTCCAGCTTCTTCCTGTCCCTCTCTGTGATGCTGCTGTTCTAGCAGACCACACCGTACAAGATGGCTGATGCCACCACAGAGTCATAGAAGGTCTTGCGAAAGTAAAAGAGCAGGTGCATTTATACGGAGACTTGATTACACACAGGTGCATTCTATTTATCATCATCAGTCATTTAGGACAACATTGGATCATTCAAAGATCCTCACTGAACTTCTGGACTGAGTTTGCTGCACTGAAAGTAAAGGGGCCGAATAATATTGCACGCCCCACTTTTCAGTTTTTTTATTTGTTAAAAAAGTTTAAATTATCCAATAAATTTCATTCCACTTCACGATTGTGTCCCACTTGTTGTTGATTCATGACAAAACATTTAAATTTTATATCTTTATGTTTGAAGCCTGAAATGTGGCGAAATGTTGAAAGGTTCAAGGGGGCCGAATACTTTCGCAAGGCACTGTACGTATCCTCAGATAGCAGGACACATGTACACAAGTGTGTGTCCGCAGATAACAGTCACATGTATACATATATGTGTCCCCAGATAACAGGTCATAAGTATTAGACAAGATAGACTTTATACAATTTGTTTCCATGTAGAAATTTTGTTTCCTATTCAATGCGCTGGAAACGGTATTAAGTCCTAAGTAACTCTGAAACAATTGTTATTGGGCCCGAGCCCCAACTGGGGTGAGGGCCTATTGCTTTTCCAACGAGTAATGCCATTACTCGTTGTAACTGTCAAGAGAGAGACCTCCTTTGCGCGGTGCGGCGAGGGCCGTTAGATCCCGCTTGCGGCTTTAATTTCTTTCTTTCTTTCTTTTTTCTTCTGCTCTTTGAACCTTAATTTGACCCCCTGAACATTGATGAAAAGTTGTGAAATTTTGCCCAAAATTCAGAACCGGCGAAAATTTTTTTTTTTTTGTGTTTATTTTTATGGGACTAAAAAAATGCCAGAACAGCGCCCCCTACAAAAGTCAGTTTACATTGCGCCTATGGGAGGGGGTCGGATGTCAAGTTTGTCGTAGAGCCACGAAATTCGGTACACATGTTCCTCAGGTCAAGACATGAAAAAAAAAGTTATTATGGCTCCGCCCCCTGACAAACAGGGAGCTCATTAATTTCAATGGGAAATGGAAAACATCTCCTCCTCGGCCGTTTCACCGATTTGTCTCAAAATCGCTCCACATGGTCTAAACACATGTACCATCAATTATTGAATACAGAATTTGGATCAGTTAAACATTGTCCGAGCATCGGAGCGGCAAAATGTGACCTTTTTTCTTCAATTTTTGACACAAGTAAATTTGCTCCCGTTTGCACAAACAAAGCCGGATTTGCACAAATTTTTTATCCATTGTTCAGCTTCATTTGAAAGTAAAAATATTGAAATTGGCTCATTAGCGCCCCCTACAGACTATGTCAAAGTTTTACATGGGCCTAATAAAATTTAGTTTTTTCAAAATGTTTGAAATTTTGCACATAATTCTGTTTTGTCATCTGGATTCAAAAAGTCGATGACAACATGATTATTTTTTACCCTGTTGGCGTGGCGACGACCAACACTCCCCTGTCTGTGTCTATGGGAAAATCATTATATCTCTGAAAAGAACACCTCGCTCAAACATCAAACCAGCCGCGGCCGTTTCACTAATTTGGCTGAAATTCGCTCCACATCGTCTCAACACATGGACCATCAATAGTTTAATATAGAATTTGAATTAGTCAAATGGTCTGAGCGTGACAGACTTCCAAAATGTGGTTATTTTCATAGAGAGGTTTGAAGTTCCCATGTTATCCAATGGAGACAGTATGGACACACTCACAGATTGGATGTGTAAACAGGAGCACATTTACAAACTCTGATTTGCACTAAACTTGACTTGGTTGTTCAACTGCTGGGCCTAGGTCACATGACAGTGTGAACAATGACATTTGCCAAATAGCGCCCCCTACAGGCTGAGTAAAGGTTTTCATAGGGATAAAGGTATTTGGGTTTTCTGTTGTTTGACATCATATTTGACCCAATTTACAAACACGAAAACTCACCAAACTTTGCCACAAGTTTTTGTCAGGCATAAAATATATTATTTTGGTGTTCTTTGGTGTAACCCAAAAAAATTTTAATTGTAGGGGGCGCTATTTTACAACATAAATGTCACCATTTGCACATACAAAGTCCGATTTGCACAAACATTTGAATTGATTGTTCACCTCTTGGGTTTGGGTAAACTGAAAGTGTAAAAGACGAAATTGCAACATTAGCGCCCCCTACAGACGGAGTCAAGTATTACATGGGGAGAATGAGGTTTACCTTTTCAAAGACACACACAATCACTGTCGCTCCCATCAGGGCGGTAGGAAAATGGCGCGGCAGCGCCACCGCGGTTGCGTTGTGCGGCGAGGGCCGTTCGACGCCGCTTGCGGCTTTAATTTTCCTTTCTTTTTTCTACCTGAGATTTTGCTGCAGTACAGTGTTCATGGTTTTGCACTGGTCCGGACCGGCGCAGAGAGGATTCATGGTCCAAACCAAGTGGATCAGCCAAAAATCTACTGGATTGGGAAGGCTACCTTTTTGAAAAATGCGAATGAAACATTCAGCCTTTTACTTTGGACTAGAGCAGAGAAAATGGTCAGAACCAAGTGGCTACTCCATCTCTGCTGCTGTGACCTGAAGGGCTCTTGCTTATTATTACTATTGTTAGCTTTTTTAAATGATCAATTATTGTTGGTTTTTTTGTTTTCTTTTTTGCTATTTGACACCTGAATTTCTCCTACCGGGATCAATAAAGTATCTATCTGCGTCAAATGAATCCAGCCAAATAAATAAGTCACCGTAACAGTGTATACCTAAACTCTAGCAGGTGGATTGCATCAGTATTCAGTGTTTAAGAGCATCATGTGTCACAGGAGGAAAATTCTTGAACCGTGTGATTGTAATGACTTTATTAGAGACAAAGAACAGATTACACACTGTCTCTTTTAAAGGCACCCTGAGGACGGCCAGTGGCTGAAATGCATAGAAGTGTTCAAAGGTGTTGCCACAGTAACCATGGAGAGAGGGAGTCCTCTCGTCACAGAGGGGAGGTCCACTTGTCACACAGGGCGGGGTCATGGGGGGGGGGGGGGGGGGTCCTGCACAAAAGCCTCTCAGTCTGAGAGAGGTTCCGAGGTAGGGGAGGGGGGGGGGGCAGAAACCAGAGCTGCTTCTTTCCCTGACGTTCTGTTTCAGGATGAAACACAATAAGGTCACATTTACATGTTTCAAAGGCACAGTCTGAAAGGGTCTAGTGTCTCGGCCAGTCTTCCCCACAGACTGTCCCCCTCTGAAACTCCTCCCCCACACACTGTCCCGCCCTCCCACAACAAACTTTCTCCTCTGAACCCACGCCCCCCCCCCGCCCCTTAACGGCCTGTCCTCTTTAATTTCCAGTCTCTGACTACAAGGAAAAATTGGATACACATGATGGTTTTGTTTTTATTTACAAAACTGCAGACATCAAAGATCAGGAGGCGGGGTCAATGTGGTCAGGGACAGGGTCACTCTGGTCAGGGGCATGGTCTCTCTGGTCGGGGGCGGGGTCATTGTGGTCAGGAGCAGGGCCTCTCTGGTCAGGGGGCGGGGTCCATCTTCTGGAATACATAGACGAGGTACAAACCTGCAACAGACAGCTCGGGTTAGGTCAGTTCTCAGGAAATCAGGTCTCAGCCTGAAGTCAGATAGTCTGGGTTGCCACAACTCCCCGCGGCTAGTTAAAATAACATGTGGCCGCAGAACTAGAAAAGGTCTTGTTATGATTCTCAAATCATTAATGACAAAACAAAGACTAAAACGAGGATTTATATCGGGACGCCTTTGAAAACTTGAGACAATTGAAGGCGGATACAAACTTTCCCTGATGCAGAACTTGCTGCGTTGGGTGCGTTCTTCATTAACAGTTCAAGAACCTGCCTGGAGTCCACAATATGTTATATGTAAAGGTGGCCTAATGGTTAAGTCATAGCGCTGGCGCCCCACTGGACAAGGTTCGATTCCGGGTGAGATATGTTTGGATTAAACAACATATGATTTGTTCTAAATCGGTTAAAGGTAAAAACAAGCCGTTATTTGCAGAGTAAAGCTTAATTGAAATAAGAATAATTTGAGACCACATGTACCCAATCAAAAATAATTCTAGTCTATTTTTGTACTTGTATACATGTATGTCTAAAAAATAGGGAATAAAAAAAAAATCTAAGGGTTGTATCCTGTGGAGGAAACCCTGATGTTGATACGCTGAAGAAATATGTTCCAACATCCACTCTTCCCACTCCTATTTTGGACATCAACTGCTTATTTATTTTGCATAATCAATGTATAATTACATTGCTTTTATTTTTTTCTCCTCATCTCAAATGTTCAAATAAAAATAAAAAATAAAAACATTCATTCAACACTAGCACGGCTATCATGGCAATGTGAATGGAGACAGACAAATAACTGATAAAATAATTCCCTGTGTTTGCTGCTGGATTTGGTGTGAATCTGGCAACCTGAGTCAGGGAGAGTGGGAGAGGACTACAAAATATTGACAGTGACTGCAGTACCACTTTTGGCCAGATTTTTACATATTGCTCCTTTACGAGGGGCTCTCTGTACGGGGGTGGGGGTCTTTAAATACTCACTGGCTGCGTCCCACTGAGAGCGACTGAGTGTGCCCTGAAACAGAGGTCACAGAGGTCACACAGGGGTCCCACAGAGGTCACACAGGAGGTTCCAGAGGGGTTACTCACCACAGGTCGCATCCCCTCTGTCACATGACTGTATTCTCCGTTGCCGCTTGTTGCCTGGTTACCGTCTGCGGCAGGAAATGGCTAAGGATTCAGAGGTCACTGGTTAGTGTTACCCTGGTGATTATGGGATGTGTTGCTGTGGTAACCTGCCTCTAGCGCACTCATCTTCTGCAGAAGACTGCTGTGACGCTCATCCTTCACTTTCTCCTGGAAAAACTCACTGAAGCGGCTTTTCAAAACAAGACGCATGCCGAGCTTCTCCAGCATCCTTCAAAACAAGAGCACAGTTTTTTTCCATTTTCTCTTACCCCCCATTACCATCCCCACCTCGCTTTGGGCCCCCCCTCCAACACACACAAACACGCACGCACGCTAGTCAATGGATAAACACATAAGTTACAGTTTTATATATTATTTTGGCAATAATAAAATAGCTGCAACAAATTATGAAAACATGCATGTGTAAATCTATACATGCTTACACAAGTAAGAATGTATGCACATACATATACAGATTCAGATATTACACACCTATTAAGACATACAGTAGGGCAAAAAAGTATTTAGTCAGCCACCGATTGTGCAAGTTCTCCCACTTAAAATAATGACAGAGGTCTGTAATTTTCATCATAGGTACGCTCAACTGTGAGAGACAGAATGTGAAAAAAAAATCCAGGAATTCACATTGTAGGATTTTTAAAGAATTTATTTGTATATTATGGTGGAAAATAAGTATTTGGTCAATAACAAAAATTCAACTCAATACTTGGTAATATAACCTTTGTTGGCAATAACAGAGGTCAAACAATTACTATAGGTCTTTACCAGGTTTGCACACACAGTAGCTGGTATTTTGGCCCATTCCTCAGAGCAGATCCTGCAGATCTTCTCGAGAGCAGTGAACACGGACTTCAACTCCCTCCACAGATTTTCAATGGGGTTGAGGTCTGGAGACTGGCTAGGCCACTCCAGGACTTTCAAATGCTTCTTACGGAGCCACTCCTTCGTTGCCCGGGCCGTGTGTTTGGGATCATTGTCATGCTGGAAGACCCAGCCACGTTTCATCTTCAAAGCTCTCACTGATGGAAGGAGGTTTTGGCTCAAAATCTTACGATACATGGCCCCATTCATTCTTTCCTTAACACGGATCAGTCGTCCTGTCCCCTTAGCAGAAAAACAGCCCCAAAGCATGACGTTTCCCGCACCTCTGTGTCACGGAGCCCAAAGGATCCGCGCAAATACGCGGCTCCAGTCAAACCACATGGAACATGTTTGTGTTTATGGTCCTTGGCATTAGATCAGCTCCACACACATCACTTGCACTTAAACTTTAGCGAAGACCTGCGAGACGCGGCGTGTCACTCGCTGCTCTGACCATGTGAACGAGCCGTTGTTTGCTGCTAAAAGGTTTTGGTTTTAACCTGCAGCACAGAAGAATGGGAAGATTAAAAAAGCAGTTCTCTGTGCGCAAAGGTGCCGAAGCTGTTGCGGGTTTTGGCGCCGCTGTCTCGGCTCTGATCCATTAGAACGCTCAGCTGCTCTTATGGAAAGTACGCGGCTCGAAATGGCTGTTATTTCAAAGAACGTGGACTATTTTAAACTACGGGGTTAACCGGTTTCAACCGGTTAATGAGGCTCGGTGGTCGGTCATGAAAATTCATAGTTTTTTAAATCCCTAAGTTTATTCCAAACAGACGGGCCTGGACATGCACTGGCTTCAGCAGGGGGACACGTCTGGCACTGCAGGATTTGATTCCCTGTCGTCGTAGTGTGTTACTGATGGTAACCTTTGTTACTTTGGTCCCAGCTCTCTGCAGGTCATGGTTCTGGGATTTTTGATCACCGTTCTCATGATCATTTTGACAAATGGAGATATTCTTCCAAAACTGCTCAACATTGCCAAATAATGTGGAGGAAAGTTCCCATGTTATTGTGAGAGTAGTACTCACAATAAGGATCGTCTTTTAGCTTCATCCAATGTAGTATTCTTGGATGCAGATGGACCAATGTATACATTTGTACTGCACTAACTGGTGATTGGGATTTCTAGATGCTAAGAGTGTGTTGGACCAGATTTTAGACGCATCCCACCCAACGTGATACTTTAGATCTACTTTCCAAAATAAAATAAAAAAGCTGATTGTGCTTGAAAGTTCTGAAAATATATCACATGTAATATGAAAAGTACAATCCAATAAACTTTTGATTACAAAAAAACTGGACTACAGCTATAATCGGGCCTGGACCAGAGCTGTAGCTGAACCCCACTGCACCTAAGACTGCTCACACAGAGGAGGAATAAATGATAACTGATGTGGCAGCTGCATCACAGATTCTCTGATCTGTTGTCGGTGAATCAACAACTTTGACAAATCCTCAGAGACGACTTCTACTCTTAAGTTCGCAAGCAAACGAGAAAAAATATACAATAGTATTTTGAACTTCATAAGCCACAAGCTATACATAGTTCCCACAGACCAATGAATGTCACATGACCTCCTCGGAGACGCCATCTTTGATGGCACGCTGCTGTGTTTGTGCATTCCATTAAACAGAAGAATGAGAATAAATGTAGATATTCAAACGCAAATTGGAAAAAAGGGCAACTTTTGAGCAAATAATTGTATATTAATACAATGGCACCACAGTTTAACGTGCTACGGACATGTTTTACATATTTGATCAAATTATGCAGCAAAAATTAACAAGCAATGCAAACATTTCTCAAAAACTTTAGATTTAATACCAGTTGGAGCTCCATTTAATTATTTTAATTATATTAACAATTAATTTAATTAATGCTAATGCCACACGGACACTCTGGATTGCTGTTATTGTTTATTTCCGCGTTTTTGACCGTATGTTTTGGTGAATGGTGGGCAACTGATTTTTCCAGGTGTAAAGAGCAGTTTATTTTATGACACAGATCTTTTTACAGAAGCAATGCTGTTTGTGAACATTGTTTTAGCCCACCATAGAACTATTATTATCTATTTAATACATTTACGTTGCCCTCGAGAGCCTCGGACGCGACACCGATCCTCCTCATAATAAAGTAATCTAACGCTAAATAATGAAACTCTCAAGTTACCAGCTATCAGCATACACAAGTTAGTACTGAGTAAATTACGTCTGTCAACACATTATGAGATACGATACGCACCTGACACAAAGTGCTCCGAGCATATTCTTGCGTGTTTTGAGGGAGTTTCTTGCCTGTTTATCTTCGCAAGCCATAACCTCCGTCGTAGTTCTGACAAAAGCTTAGTCTTCTCACATTCATGGAGTCTAATGATGGGTATACTGTAAAATCCAAGTTTAACAGAACCTCCGGCACGATTTGAACATCCATTGACCCAGCAGGAGATGACCATTTTCAACTTTATCACGACATTAACACGTTTCAGCTTCTTTTTCTATTGTTTTGCCCACAGAATGCCAACTCAAATGGCGCCGGGTCGGCAAATCCCCGTATGTAGTGACGTCATGTGGGAACTATGTATACATGTCATTTTAAAGCTTATTTTCTCAGCTATATTTATATATAAGTGTAAACGATATCAGACTTTGCATTAAAAAGATATAACGCATAATATGGGCACGAAATAAATCGTGTTTGTGTAAGTTTCTTACCTTTTGTCTTCTGCTGCTCAAACAAATTAGACTTTACCCATCCTTGCTTAGTCTCTTTCTCTCCGTAAGTCTTCATTGAAAAAGAATATCCACTTGTATTTCCCAAAGTATAATCCATTCTTCAGAAATAATCCAAAAATGTGCATTTTTCTGTTTAAAAAAAAAAAACGGGCTTCAGGCTTCTCTTTCACATTTCACCAAGTTTTGTTTAGCCCCACAAACATATCCACGTGTTCCTTGAGTCCTTAGCTTCAAAAAGAGAGGTTCCATGAAGAGATAGGAGCAGGTTTCAGTCCGCAGGACCCTTGTGAAAAAGACGAACTGCATCCACTTGCAGAGGGTCCCTTTTTGCCATGTTGTTGATTAGCATGATTGACGTGTCTAAGTAGCCAATAAAAAGGGCTTTCTTTTGATGGGTGGGACTTGTAGGAACCCTTTTCATTTTCACAGTAAAAGCGTGCGTAAAGACGCTGTTAGTACTGCTGCGCATATTTTATATGCATTTACACTACTAAAAAAATAATTTTGAAAAAATTTAAAAGAAAATCACACAGATTTGTAACTTATAAGTACCAAAACTAAAAAATATGCTTTTTATGATGGTGAAATGTTAGTAAAGCAGTTTGGCACAATTTGGCACAAACTTTGCCAAATTGGTTCCGAATGGCACTACTTGATAAAAAAGAGAAACTGCATAAAAACTATAAAACTTAGAAGTCTGAAACTTTACACAGTTGTTGTCAACAATACAATGAACAAATTGGCGTTGAACATTTTCTTCTTCCAATGAAGTAGGCTTTTTTGGGCATTTATACATAGAATTTTTTAGGCGAGACTAAAAAAAACAGGTTTGGATGCAGAGTGAAATAGGAATGACATACATTATTTCAGTGTATATTTACATAAACTAGAAGGGCCTAGCTTTAAAATGATGCATCACACAAGCATGTGAGATGTAAGATGTGTTTTTAAATCAGCAAAGACATTTAGGTATGCCAAACTTTTGTACACGAGCCAAAACAGATGTAGGAGTTTAAGAGGTTAAGAGCAATACAAAAACAAAATAAAATAAATAGTACTTGGACTACCTTTAGTACTAAAGCCTAGTGTATACTTGCGCGGCGTGGCTTACGTTAGCGGTTGCGGTGGACCTACGTAAGCACAATTGATGTTATACTGGCGCGTTCCCCTTACGGAGTTTTGAGGAGAATGTTGTAATCCCACAACAAACCACATGAGGGCGATCACACAGGAGCGGTCTCATTTACGCTGCTACTTTGTCCTCTTCAGAACAACAATAGCAAACAAAGCTGTTTGAGCTCATTACATGTGTTTCTACTGCAGGTTTATGTGATAGTTTTATGGATTCATTATTAGTCATTTCAACTGTGATGCTGTGAATAAAGACACAGTTCTTGTTGGAAATATAGTTATTATTAAATAGTTTTCAGCACAAACAGCAAAACGATAATAGTGGTAAATATCTGAGACAAACATGAACGATTTACGAGTGCAGGAGGAAAGCAACAAACGCAGCTACGATTCAAACAAAGACAAAACAAACAGTGCAAAACAAACAACTGCACAGTTTATAAGTTATATATATGTTAGATAGTCCACAGTCTCCTGTATATCAGGCTTTGAGCCCAAACTGCTTTTCCTTCGAAGCACAAAGCAGTCTGCTCCATAGTGCCTCGTCCATTGTCCCTGCTGCAGCCGCTCCGTGCTTCCTTCCAATACACACACACATGGACCAATCACAGCGGAGCTTCCTTGCGGTGACCCTTACGTAGTTAGAAAATGTCGATGCTGCGCGGCAGGCAACGTAAGGGCCTTGCGGTGACCAACGCGTTGCGCAATTGTGACGTCACGTCACCTCCGTAAGCTCCGCGCGAGTATACACTAGGCTTTATAGTACCTCTGTACTTGTACATCTATTATCTCTGTACTTGTAGCACCTCTAGTACAAAAATGTAAAAATATGTACTCTGTATGACACATAACATCAACACCACTTAAGCTGTTTTAAGACTTTAGAACCACAAACACACGTTCAGTACAAGACATGATACTTTTGCATTTGATTGAAGGCACTCAACATTTCTCTCACACTCAACATCTGGAGCTGGCAAAAAGTAGAGTGAGGCTTCTCTCCCGGTGTAGCTGGTGGTAGCGTGTTAGCTGGTTTTAGCTGATGTCCGTAATTATAATCCATTTGGTCAAACCACCTCCAAAACTTTTGCTGTTGGGATCTTTCATTTCAAGGTAGTCACTTTTAAGCTTCTTAACTTCTCTCCGTGCTGTGATGATGTCTGTGAATATCCATTCTTCTCCATTTTTAGCGCTTCCTCCGCAAACACGTTCTCATTTCTAGTGGAACCATCGAGCTCATGGTGTCATCTCCTCAATCTGTTGACCGCATCCAGCGACCAAGGAATTGTTTTCCGTACGGATTTCTATATAGTTTTCAGCTGGAAACTTGAGGAAACGTGTTGTTTGTTATGTTTTTTCACAACAGCTGACGCACTAGCTGAAGAGTGATTGACAGCGTTTCTGACCAATCAGAATTGAGGTTCGCCGACGTCAGACTGTTTTTGTATCTACTCGGCCCGGGTCGTACCAGGGCTAAGCTGTTACAACAACAAAAAAGCCGGTGGAAACGCCCGCAAACCAGGGAGAGTTAAGTCGAGTAGAGCAGAGTGGGTAGAGTCGGGCCCGTGGAAACAGGCCTTTACTGTGTGGAAAAAAGCATAACAAATCCACTCTCAGCTGTCCACGAGTCCATGGTTCTGTCTGCACGTCCATGGTTCTGTCCACGTGTCTATGGTCCGCACTTAGTACCACGTTATGGATGTGCGTTCGCTGAGCTGTTGTCAAAGCGGCTGTCACTACAACGCAGCCACAGCTGCCCCAGGGTCAGAACGTAGGATGTGAATCCTGCTCAGAAATTCCTTTTCAAAATCGTCTCAATCACTTTCACTTCTCACGGGCGACCAAATGCTCCCCGCTACCTGTTACAATTGTTGGTCGCATCCAATTCTTACGTTTCAAAGTACTTAGCTATCTGCTGCCACCTACTGATATGAAAAAAGTATTACGTGCTTACTCCGCAGTTCAAAATAAGTCAGCACTCGCCAACGGTGGATGCATTTATTTTTAGACAAAGTAGGCGAATTTCTCACGGCACACCAGACAATATCAAATGGCACACTAGTGTGCCGCGGCTCAGTGGTTGAAAAACACTGCGGTAGAGCCTGTAGTACCTGTTGAGCCTTTACCTGGTCATGAGCGGGAAGTACACCATGAACTCGGGCACGTCGACCACCCCCTCCAGGTGGAAGTGATACTCTGCTCCAAACAAAGCAAACGGAGGTTTGGATTTAAACTGAACCCGGAACACATTGTTTCCAAAGCTGAGGTCTGCGGACTGAGAAGCACGCCTCCTGTGGAGAGAGAGGAGTACAGCAGGTTACATCAGGGACCTGTTTACCAACCGAGCAAAGGTGTAGTAGCATCAGCATCAGCAGCAGCAGCACTCACATCAGCTCATAGGCATCTGGGGTGGTCCCGATGAAGAAGCCTCCAGGCCTCAGTTTTTCTGTTGCGTTCTTTAACATAGTTTCAGCTTTGAGTCGAGACTCAAACGAGTAATGAACTACAAATTGACAACTGCAGAGGTCAAAGGTCAGGGCGGGATCAGCCAGACGGGGCGCCAGCTGCTCCTTCAAAATAAGAGCACTAGCTTTAAAACATCCTTCAAAATAAGATCACAAACTGACAAGGTCGAACAGGGTCTGAAGTTGTACCACTGTAGTACTAGTACCTGTAGTATATATTGTACTTAATATATTTTTATTTGTATAGCACTTTTCAAAAACAATGTTTACAAAGCGCTGCACTGTCAGCATAATAAACAATAAAACAGTCATAACAATACAAAGTCAAAATAATTAGAATAAAAGATACAGGAAGACAAATCAGACAGAGGAAGCACAAGAAGAAAGACAAAACAAAGACAAAGTAGACAGTAAAATACAACATGAGAAGTTTAAAGAAGACGATTAAAAGCTGTTCGATAAAAGTGATTTAAAAGAGAATGCTGATGGTGCTTGCCTTATCTCCTTGGGCAGGTTGTTCCAAAGCCGAGGAGGGGGTTAAAAGTTCACAAATATAGCTGGGTGCCAGACTTAAACCAGCTTTAAAAGTGATCACTAAAATCCTAAAATGTATTCTGAAATGCACAGGGAGCCAGTGGAGAGATGCTAAAACAGGGGTGATGTGCTCCCTTCTGTTAAAACCAGAGAGAAGTCTGGCTGCTGCACTCTGAATCAGTTGGAGGCGGGAGAGGATTTTGTAGTCGAGACCGGAGAGGAGGGAGTTGCAGCAGTCGAGGCGGGAGAAGATGAGGGCGTTGACTACTTTATGGAGATCAAGAGGAGTGAGAATGTTTTTAATTTTTGAGATGGTGCGGAGGTGGAAGAAACAAGATTGGGTGTTTTTTTTTAGGTGGGAGCAGAAGGTGAGGTGAGAATCAAAAATGACAGGTTACGGGCGGAGGGAGTGATGTTTGAGGATAGGGGGCCGTGGTGGGTTTGGATGTGGGATATTGATGGGGGTGGGTTTATGAGGAGGACTTCAAATTTGGAGGTATTGAGTTGAAGAAAGTTATGGACCACTACATGCTTGTTCTTGCAGCAGACATTGTACTTCTACCTGTAGTAGACATTGTACTTCTACCTGTAGTATAAATTGTACTAGTACCTGCAGTATATCCAGTATTGTGCCTGTAATGTATATTGTTCCTGTAGTAGATATATTGTACCTTTGTTGCGTCTGCAGTGATGAACTCTGCAGAGAAAATGTCGTTGTTGTGACTTTTTCGTTTCATTTCCTCAAATCTGATTCTGCACTGATCCACGGACACGTCAGCAATGTCTGAGGGACACAGGGTCAGAGTCTGAGGTACACAGGGACAAAGTCTGAGGCACATAGGGACAGGGGTCAGACTTTGAGGGACACAAGGACAGGGGTCAGAGTCTGAGAGACAGAGACAGTGGGACCCAGGGTCAGAGTCTGAGAGACACAGGGTCAGAGTCTGAGAGACACAGGGTCAGAGTCTGAGGGACACAGGGTCAGAGTCTGAGGGATACAGGGTCAGAGTCTGAGGGACACAGGGTCAGGGTCTGAGGGACACAGGGTCAGGGTCTGAGGGACACAGGGTCAGGGTCTCACCTGTGCACACCAGGTGGCTGATGTTTCCTCGTCTCCACTTCAGTAAGTCTCCTCCTTTACCACATCCCAAGTCCAGGACTCGGACCGGACCAGGACTGGACCTCCGGAGCTGGTCCAGGATCTCACCTGAAAACAAAAGTTTATCTCCTGATGACAGCTCTTCAGAGACATTAGCTCCTGATAAGTTTGTGTAAGCTCTCAGTTGTACAGGGATTAGTCAAAGTAAAGGAAGGTTTCTCACCCATAATATGTACTTCTTAGCAGATTTTCCCGTTGTCCTTAATTCAAAGAGCTTTTTCAAGGGAATGAAATCTCAGACCACGTGTTGGAGATTTATGCGTGTGGTTAAACCCACCCTAATCCTAAAGCTAACTCATAAACACATCTAAGGTCTGTGGTAGGGAGCAGGTCTAACAACCCTGCTATGGCTAACAATCCTAACTCATTAGCATGTCACAGACCTCTTGTCTGCTGCAATTGCTCGAGTGGAGTACAGGTCTCACTAGGGATGTAAAAAACTACGAATTTTCATGACCGACCACCGAGCCTCATTAACCGGTTGAAACCGGTAAACCGCGTAGTTTAAAATATTCCACTTCTTTGAAATAACAGCCATTCCGAGCCGCGAACTTTTCATGAGTGCAGCTATACTTTCCACTGGGTCAGAGCAGAGACAGCGGAGCCAAAACCCGAAACAGCGTCAGCACCTTTGCGCACAGAGAACTGCTTTTTTAATCTTCCCATTCTTCTGTGCTGGGTTAAAGCTTTTTAGCAGCAAACAACGGCTCGTCCACATGGTCAGAGCAACGACTGACGCGTCTCGTAGGTCTCCTCTAAAGTTTAAATACAAGTGATGTGTGTGGAGCTGACAAGGACCAGCAGCACAAACATGGTCCATGTGGTTTGACTGGAGCCGCGTATTTGCGAGGATCCTTTGGGAACTGTAACACAGAGGAGCGCGACAGATCGGTATGTCTGTACATGTATGTATGTGTGTATGTGTTGTTAGTATTAGATAGCAATATGGCCTACGTGCAGGACTCTACAAGGACTCTGATTATTATGACTATGATGTGACTGTCTCTGTGTGACATGTATGTCTTTCGATGTGTGACGTGACAATGACTATATAAACTGTGTACTGACTCCATTCTGTCTGGGAGAAAGAAACAATGGAAACCACTGGAACTTGAGAGAAACTTAAACTTCCAGAGTTTGGCGCACCACGATCCGTCTCTGTCTGGTTCATTCCTGACAGTGTGTGTAAATGTATGCGTGTATGTGTGTGTAAATGTAAGCTCTAATGTAGTTCTAACCCGCACTAGTGAGCAACTTTGGCGGACTAGTAGGGAGAGATGATGGGTGTGGATGTTACGTATCAATGGAGGGGGGGAAATGTGTGTGTGTGCACGCGCGTGTGCATGTGTGCGTGCATATGTGGCGCGTGCAGCATGAAAGTCGGCCCGGAGTTTACTGATACATTGGAGCACACAGCTAGAGACAGACCCGCTCCTTCACACTGTGCAAATAGGGCTTCAAATAGCGTTATTAAAAGACCTCCCCTCTCCCCCTTTTCTTTTTTTTTAACCGACAGCATTTACCGGTTAACGTCGTGACGGTCAACCACCGGTTAAACGGTCACCGATTTACATCCCTAGGTCTCACCACTCCTAACTCATTAGCACGTCACTGACCTTATCTATTGTTATGGCATTGTTTTTAGGTCATCGTCATAGATGCCAGGCAAAACAAATCTTAACCCGCCTCCTCTGTTAAGAGAAGGTTTGTGTTTCCTCACAAAAATGGTTTCTTTCACCCCTCTCTCATACCAATTTTTGTCCAGAGCCAGAATTTTAGCCTCTGTGTCGATTACAGTGTGGTTGGTGGCCTTGAAGTGGAGATGTAGAGCCGCTTGTGGCCCATTAAAGTTTTCTCTACGATGTTGGTAAAGTCGTTCTGTAGAGTTTGCCTAGTTTCTCCAATTCAGTGGTCAGTGCACTCCTCTTTACTACATTTAATTGTGTACACCACATTTCTCTGTTTGTGTCTGGATGTTTTGTCTTTGGGATGCACCAATTTCTGTCTTAACAGCCGCGTTTCACAGCAGGAGTTCCTGGTAAAAGGAGCGGGGTGGAAACTCTTGACGTCATCCACAACTAAATACAACATCTGCCTTCCGCGCTCTCTGAATGGTCGGTCCAAATTCAACCAATTGTAATTGCTAACACAGGGACCAGACCCAGACGTTACACGCAGTGATTGAACGGAGTGTACGGATGGCTAAGGCCAGGCTACGCTATTCCCAGTATTTATGGGCTCCCAAAAATACACAAACAAAACATTCCACTTCGGCCTAATGTCTCTTGCATAGACTTAATCACCTACAATTTGGCTTAACACCTCAAAACCATTCTAGCTCCTTTAGTGGGTAACACCTATTATCATGTACATAACATAAAAGAATTTGTAAATAAAATCAAACATCTCCAGTTTGACACTGATGAGAATGGTTTCGTATCATGTGACATCCCTTTTCACGTCAGTCCCTTCTACAGAGGCGGTGGAGGCTGTAAGAGAAAGCCTCCAGAACGACAGCACACTAGGGGACAGAACAAAACTAACACCTGACCACATCTGTGAAATACTTGAAATGTGTCTTAACACCACATATTTCCAATTTAGAGGCACTTTCTTTAGACAGATTCATGGCTGAGCGATGCAGTGGCCAATCTGCAGACTGGAGACACAAGCCCTGGCCTCTTACCAAGGGACAGCGCCAAGCCATTGGTTTATATGTAGACGATACATGGGTTAAGTTAAAAAAACAGGAAGTGGAACCATTTTCAGAACGCATTAACTCTGTGGACCCTTTTATAAAATTCACTCGTGAGGATGCAAAGTAGAGTGAACTTGCCTTTCTAGAACGGACAATTACAACGGACACAGGTCTTCAGAAAGTCCACTCAAACTGACCAGTACCTGGCCTTTGATTCAAATCATCCGCAATAACACAAACTCGGGGTCATTAGAACGCTCCAACACCGAGCCCACCAGGTCCCCACAAGCTCTGAGGGAAAGAACAGAGAAACCAAACATTTTCAGTGAGCACTTTCCAGATGTGGCTTCCCCTAGTGGTCCTTTACTATAGACCAAAGGACAAGAACGGCCAGAGAAACAGTCCAACAAACGGAAGAAGGTAGGAGGAGAGGAGTGTCCTTACCTTATGTGTTGTATTGTATTGTATGTACTTAATTTGAACAGGGACAGTGTACAGTTAAGCATTAACACAAAAGGAGAGATGCATTTACCAGGTTATAGCAAAGATGCTAATTTCCACCTGTAGTCCCTGGGCAGGCTGGTGTTATGTTCATTTAAACTGATTACAATGTACATGTATACATGACCATGTCTTACATTTACAGGCTTTAAATAACATAATTCACAAACCATTAAGTTTAATAACAATAAATAAAGTTCCCCAACTTCTACTAGAATATTACCACTCACTCACTCACTCGCTCGCTCGTGCAAACTTGCTTTTTCAGAAGCCATTTCTTAGTCAGCCAAGACAATGTTTTAAATGTAGTACACGCAATGAGGTCCCAGAGTGGTTTTACAGCCCTGAGACCAGCTCGAGACACAGTATACACAATGTGACAGGATCATGGAGTTCAGATACAGATGGGACGCCTCAGTGGTGAGTGACCCCCGAATGTATCTGAAGTTGGCCAAATTAAACTTAAGAGTGTTACGGAGTTTCTTAACATGATGTTTGAAGGTCAGGTTTCGATCCAGGGTCACTCCTAAATATGAGAATACATCAACATTTTTAATTTTACTGCCATTAATAAAAATATTTGGACAACAACCGGTTTTGTCTGTGTTTAATGTCAGACAGTTTTGACATAGCCAGTCAGCAACATTTTGCATTTCATTTCTTAATTTTGTGGCTACATCACTTTCGTTTTTGCCATGAACAAACAACACTGTGTCGTCAGCATACATGATGACATTTGCAGTGCAGACAGAGGGGAGGTCATTTATATAAATGTTAAAAAGCAGAGGCCCCAAAATGGAGCCCTGCGGCACTCTCATGGTGTAGTTTTTTAGTGGAGAGAGGGTGTTGTTCACTCTCACACTCTGCTGTCTGCCACTGAGGTATGACTTCAGCCAGTTTATTGTCTGGTTAGAGAGGTGGAAATAGGGCTGGGCGATAAAACGATAACGATATATATCGCGATAGACACGTGTTCGATATCAATAGAAAACAGGGTCGATAGAACTTTCGATAGTTTAGTTTAACTTCACTCCGTTCGAAAAAACAGGAACGAAACACAGGAAGTGAAGCCGAGTCAGAAGCGCGCGGCATTCTAGATGTAGGCAGAGACTTCTCGACCTATCACAGCCGACTACAAACCGCAAAACTTTCTGGGAATGAAAAAAAAACAACCGCACCATGCGTAGCGTCCATGGATCATGGATCTATTATAATAGCCCTGGATCTAAAGATCGTGTCTCAGTGCCGTGTCAATGGTTAAACATGTCCTGCGAGGAACAGCATGTGCGGCGCGGGAGAGGCAGAGACTTGATGCATTCGGCAAAAGCAAGAGATTAACTTTCTGGAGCCGCCACGGGGACACAGGACACTCGAAAACAGGTGCTAAACCAGGACTAAACGAGGATTAAACCAGGACTAAAGTGGGGGAGACTGCTTGTGAACATTTGGCTCCAGCCTCATTCCCCCGTGACTGTAAACAAGGCTGCTAATATGTGTTAGCCGACACGACAAATGTATTTATTTACGTTTTAGAAAATAAATAAAAAACAATCAATATATATCGTTATCGACCGATATGAATTACTTATATTGTGATATAGTTTTCAGTCATATCGCCCAGCCCTAGGTGGAAATTAGTGAGTTTGTTCAGGAGGATGTCATGACTGACTGTCAAAAGCTTTTCGGAGGTTGAGAAACACCGCCCCACCACTCCTCCTTGATCAAGACTAGATCTAATCTCTTCAGTGAAGTAACAGCAGGCGGCTTCTGTGGAGTATTTGCTTCTAAAACCAAATTGTAGAGGGTTTAAGAAGCAATGGCTGTCAAAGTGTTCAATAAGCTGCTCTGCTACTACCTTTTCAAAGACTTTGGAGATAGTGGGTAGGATGCTAATGGGGCGGTAGTTGCTGACCTCCTGTTTGTCCCCGACTTGTACACAGGTGTGACAATGCCAGGTTTCAACGCAGCCGGAAATGTACTGTTACTTATTGACTGGTTTATAGTTTTTCCTCATCGACTTGAGGTTGATTATAAAAACATGGTGCTACGAATGATTGCACCAGTTTTTGAACTGAATTAATAAAATAGTCATTAAAATGCATTGCCAAAAAAGCACTATCATTTTGAATCTCACCATTTACTTTTAGTTGCATATCACAATAAGTACGGCGTTTGCCCAAAAGCTTATCAATATTTCTCCATAAAACTTTACTATTTCCTTTTGCTTCCTTAATTAAATTAAGAAAGAATGTGGCCTTAGCTTTTCTAATTAGTGCTCTTGGCTGGAGTTTCAGAGAAACTATAAAGAATCTTTAGGCAACACAAAATCCCTGTGTATTTCAAACCTTTCAACACGTTAAGACCGAAATTGGTGCATCCCAAAGACAAAACACCCAGACACAAACAGAGCAATGTGGTGTATTCAATTAAATGTAGTAAAGAGGAGTGCACTGACCACTATATTGGAAAAATTAAACAAACTACAGAAACGACATTACCAACATCGTAGACAAAACTAGTGAGCCACAACTGGCTGTACATCTCCACCTCAAGGCCACCAACCACACCGTGAACAACACAGAGGTTAAAATTCTGGTTTGAGACAAAATTGGTTTATAGAGAGGGGTGAAAGAAGCCATTTTTGTGAGGAAAAACAAACCATCTCTTAACAGAGAAGGCGGATTAAGATTTGTTTTGCCTCGCATCTATGACGACATCCTAAAAACAATGCCATAACAATAGATAAGGTCAGTGACGTGCTAATGAGTTAGGAGTGGTTAAACCTGCACTCCACTAGAGCACTCACAGCAGACAATAGGTCTGTGACATGCTAATGAGTTAGGATCGTTAGCCATAGCAGGGTTGTTAGACCTGCTCCCTTCCACATCTTAACAGACCTTAGATGTGTTTATGAGTTAGCCTCAGGATTAGCGTGTGTCTAACCACACCCATAAATGATAAATTTATGGGTGTGGTTTAAATTGAATTTAAGATTTCAATCCTTAAAAAAGTTCTTTGGATTAAGGACAAAACGTCGTGAAAACAGACACTAGCTCCTGATGACAGCACTACAGACACACTAGCTCCTGATAACAGCTCTACAGAGACACTAGCTCCTGATGACAGCTCTACAGAGACACTAGCTCCTGATGACAGCTCTACAGAGACACTAGCTCCTGATAACAGCTCTACAGAGACACTAGCTCCTGATGACAGCTCTACAGAGACACTAGCTCCTGATGACAGCTCTACAGAGACACTAGCTCCTGATGACAGCTCTGATAACAGCTTTATAGAGACACTAACTCCTGATAACAGCTCTACAGAGACACTAGCTCCAGCTTTACAGAGACACTAGCTCCAGCTTTACAGAGACACTAGCTCCCGATGACAGCTCTGCAGAGACACAAGCTCCTGCTGACAGATCCACACAGACACAAGCTCCTGATGACTCACCAATGAGGACGCTCTTGACCCAGTTGTTGAAGTTCCTCATGTAGAAGATGGGGCTCTGGGATCGAGCCTGAAGACCGACCTCCTGCAGACGGTTGTAGTGATCGGCCACCGCCACACTGCGGTCACATGACTGAACACAGGTCACATGATTAGAGCCAGACTGACAGACGCGAGGCAACCAGTATGTGCCATCGGCAACAACAATTCATACACACACAACAGACTAAGTTTATATGGAGACACTGTGCAGACGTTGCAAAGTAATTAACAGAAACGCAGCGTGTAGATATGAAGAAGATGACATAGTCTGGGATTGCGTCTTTAATTCAGACAGAAGACAAGTTTTATTGTCGATGGTAGAGACAGCACGAGCAAAACACACGATCACAGAAACAACAGAATGCAAGTGTATTATACAGAGCGGAGGCATGGAGACCTCCAATCAGCAGCTTCCACGGTGTGCTTGTAGCTTGGCCTTCAGATAGACACAACAAGGGAAAAGTACTGGCTTCTGCACATTGATAGAATGATGAGTTTAACTTTAACAAAAGTTGCTTAAAAGTGTTATGAAATCTCACATTCTCCCCTCTGGTCATACATTCACGTGTGACCATCAGGATCGATAAACAGCAACATAACATCATAACTCAATACTTCAAAAACTCTGTACTTCACTCGGTACTTCAAAAAACTCAGAACTCTGAATACTTCAAAAACTCATAAAACTCATAAAACATGTTCAGATCTTTCATAAAACTTGTCAACAATCTTCAGTAAAATACCAAACTTCATCAGTCGATGGTTCCAGATAATGCTCTGAAAACAGTCTCTCCCACTTCTCCGTGTTGGTTTCTTCAGGCTGCATTTGTGTCGAGCCATGAATTCTTCTGTGACGTGTCTTTCAATCACACGTTTCAGCTTTAGTGTCCAGATTCAGCAATCCAATTCAGTCCAGATTACGTCCAAATTCAGAAATCCAATTGTTCCAAATCATGTCCAAATTGTTGAATCCAATTGTTCCAAATGGTGTCCATGCAAAAGAGGACAATGGTATTGTCCATGTCTCAGCAGCTCACAGCCTGAGTGGAGTCAGGGGCTGTGCAGATTGTCCATGTGCTGGTCCAGATGCATTCTCTTGAGGTTTCTCAGTTTTGGCTTAAAAAAAAACACTTTTTGTGTAAAAAAAAAAAAAGTAGTCCTCTGTTCTCTAGATGTTACAGACAAGGCCCGCATCCTTCCACCACCTGAAGAGGATGTGCCAAGTCTGGGATCGTGTCTTAAATTCAGACAGAAGACATGTTTTATTGTCGATGATAGAGACAGCACGAGCAAAACACACGATCACAGAAACAACAGAATGCAAGTGTATTATACAGAGCGGAGGCATGGAGACCTCCAATCAGCAGCTTCCACGGTGCCATGTAGCTTGGCCTTCAGATAGACACAACAAGGGAAAAGTACTGGCTTCTGCACATTGATAGAATGATGAGTTTAACTTTAACAAAAGTTGCTTAAAAGTGTTATGAAATCTCATAGATAGCGCATGAAAACAATGTATTCGCCCTGGACTGCCACCTTAATGTGGTGGTGGAGTACTCGGATGATCCTGGGAGCAATGGGCCTCATTCACGAACCGTACTTAAGAACAAATTTGTGCGTAAATCCTACTTACGAAGATTTTACGAAGATTGTGGCATTCATGAAATTTTCTCGTAACCAGAATTTCTCTTGGCTACGTACAAATCCTACGAGTCCTCAGGAGCACTCTTACGCACATTCAGTGCCGACATGTTCGCAAGCTGGTGTTACGAAGTTCAATAAAACACAACATTACAGTGATACAGTATGTCTGTCATATTGATGTATTGATTTATCTATTTAATTGTTAATGGTAATGTAGCCTATTTTTTAATTCATTTTGAAATGAAATGTGCCAACGCATTACATTGGAAATCTTGCCGTGTATTAGTGACCCCATCCTATTTATAGGGGGCATTTCTTTATCCACGGGCCACAGAACAATGGCGTATACTGCTGCTGCAGGAGGTTGCGGGGTCCGCGCTGGTCTCTCCCATGGATCTAGATGGGTCTGCACTGGTCTCTCCATACGGGTCCATGCTGCACGCTCCTGGATCCATACGGGTCCGCGCTGGTCTCTCCAGTCTGGACTATGCGGTCTCTCTTTGGTCCGCACCGGTCTCTGCGCACCGGTCTCTCCAGTCAGGTCTCTCTGTCTATGCGGTCTCTCCTGTCCGCGCTGGTTTCTGTGTGCTGGTCACTCCAGTCTCTCCTCGGGTCTGCATTGGTCTCAATGCTGGTCCGCGCTGGATCTCCTCCCAGGGTCCAAAATATTTTGAGATTAATCTCAAAACATTTTGAGATTCATTTTTAAATTAATACATAATATATTTTTAACTTAATCTCATAACATTTTGAGATTAATTTCATCATATTTTTAGATTAATCTCATAATTTTGCTAGTTCGACTTTATTCTCATAATATTTCGACTTTTAAGTCAACATTTTATAACTTTATTCTCAGTCTGGCAAAAGAAAAAAGGGTGACTCTTTTGCTCCGTGTATCTCGTTGCTTTAGGCCTGTTGCTGTTTCCTCTGCCCACGGCCCTGCAGTCCCTTTTATGGGCATGAATGGGCGGTTACCTATGCTAAGTACCTATGCTAATGAAGCACCGGGCACGTGCGCTCTACTTACGAGGAGATGGCATTCATCAATCTGAGAGAACAGCTGCGAACAATTCAGCGGCTTACAAGTGCGTTGATGAATCCCACGTAGGGTCTTCTTAGAAATCTACTTAAGAACGACTTGAGAAGAAATTTAAGAAGATTCTTACGAAGTTATTCGTGAATGAGGCCCAATGTTGTCTGGGCCGTCTCCCATGGCAGACAGGTCTCAGGTGAACAGTCAGACGAAGCGCAGTCCGAAGCCAACCATAGACAGCACTACAATGAGAACAGTGACGTCACCCGGAATGCCGCTGCCGGGGCCCCACCTTGGAAAGCGAGCGCCTGGTGGCCGGGCCTTAGCCAACGGTGCCCGGCCAGGCTCAGCCCGAAAGGGCGACGTGGACAGGCCCTGCTGTGGACCCACCACCCGCAGAAGGGTCCGTGGTGGCACGGTGCAGCATGGACTGGGCAGCAGTCAAAGGCGGAGACCTCGGCGACCCAGCCCGCACACCCAACATTTGGCTCTTAGGACGTGGAACGTCACCTCAATGGGGGGGAAGGAGCCCACGCTCGTGGGGGATCTCTTCGTTGTCTTGTTATGTTCTGATTGTTCTCTTGATATGACACGAATGCTTATCCATGTATGATGTATGTGTGACGTAAACATTGACTATATAAACCATATCCTAAATATGTTCTGTCTGAAAAAGCCACTGAGAATAAACATCCAAGCTCGGGTGCGCCTTGATCCCGTCTCTGTGTGCTTGATTCTCCACAACGTGTTGAAGTTCTCCCCGGTGAATGAGAGGGTCGCATCCCTCCGGCTCCAGGTGGGGACAAGTCTCTAACTTTTGTGACGGCTTACGGGCCTAGTAGTTGGACTTTTGTGCTAGTCACAGTTTGTCCATCACGAACACCATGTTTGAGCACAAGGGTGATCAACATTGTTGTTGTATCATCTGACTTTCGGCCGCGTGTCTCGGACACTCGGGTGAAGAGGGGCGGAGCTGTCACCCGATCACCACCTGGTCGTGTGTTGGATCTGCTGGCAGGGGAAGAAGTCGGTCAGACCTGGCAGACCCAAGCGTGTTGCAAGGGTCTGCTGGGAACGTCTCGCTGACGTTCAGACGGACTTTCAACTCACACCGGGAGGGCTTCTCCCAGGTCCCGGCGGAGGAGGGGAATATTGAGTCCGAGTGGACCATGTCCTCTTCCTCTGTTGCTGATGCGGCAGCTCGTAGCTGTGGAACAAGGTCTCTGGTGCTGGTCCTGGCGGCAACCCCCGACCTTGGTGGTGGACACCGGCAGTAAGGGATGTCGTCAGGCTGAGGAAGGAGTCCTATCGAGCCATGATGGTTCGTGGGACTCCTGGGGCAGCTGTCCAGTACCGGCTGGCCAAGCGTGCCACGGCCCGGGCTGTTGTAGAGGCAAAAACCCGGGACTGGGAGGAGTTCGGAGAGTCCATGGAGCATGACTACCAGTCGGCCTCGAAGAGATTCTGGCAAACCATCCGGCGCCTCAGGAGGGGGAAGCAGTTCTTTGCCAACACCGTGTACGGTGTGGAGAGCTGCTGAACTCGACTGGGGATATTGTCGGGCGGTGGAAGGAATACTTCGAGGTTCTCCTCAATTCCCCCGTCATGTCCTCCGTCCCAGAGGCTGAGCATGTTGGGGCGGATACTTCCATCTCCCTGGCTGAGGTCACCAAGGTGGTTGGTAGCCTCCTTGGTGGTTGGCAGCCTCCTTGGTGGCAAGGCCCCGGGAGTGGATGAGATCCGTCCTGACTATCTAAAGTCTCTGGATGTTGTAGGACTGTCCTGGCTGACCCGTCTCTGCAACATCGCGTGGCGATCGGGGGCGGTGCCAATAGAGCTGCAGACCGGGGTGGTGGTCCCTCCCTACAAGAAGGGGGACCGGAGGGTGTGTTCCAATTATCATGCGATCACACTCCTCAGCCTCCCCAGTAAGGTTTACTCCAAGGTACAGGAGAGGAGACTACGACCGATGGTCAAATCTCGGATTCAGGACGAACAGTGTGGTTTGCGTCCCGGTCGCGGAACACTGGACCAGCTCTATACTCTCCATCGGATACTCGAGGGTTCATGGGAGTCTGCCCAACCTGTCCACCTGTGCTTTGTGGATTTGGGGAAGGCAATCGACTGTGTTCCCCGGGGTGTACGTTCCCTGTATGACCGGAGCCAGAGCTGCGTTGGCATTGCCGGCAGTAAGTCAGACCTGTTCCCGGTGCATGTTGGCCTCCGCCAAAGGCTGCCCTTTGTCACCGGTTCTGTTCACTGTGTTTATGGACAGAATTTCTAGGCGTAGCCAGGGGCCGGAGGGTGTCCAGATCGGGGACCACAGGATCTCTGCTGTTTGCGGACACTGTTGCCCTGTTGGCTCCAACGAACCAGGAACAAGATCGCGGATACAAGGGGTCGAAAGGAGCTTTCTCCGCAGAGTGGCTGGGCTCTCCCTTAGAGATAGGGTGAGGAACTCAGTCACACGGGGAGGAGCTACTAGTAGAGTCGCTGCTTCTCCACCTTGATAAGTACCAGTTGAGATGGTTAGGGTATCTGTTCCGTATGCCTCCCGGACGCCTCCCCATGGAGGTGTTCTGGGCACGTCCCACCGGGAGGAGACCCCGGGGAAGACCCAGGACACGCTGGAGGGACTATGTCTGGACGTCTCTGCTTAGACTGCTGCCCCCGCGACCCGGCAACGGATGAAGCGGAAGAAAATGGAATGGAATGAAAATAATACATAATACAGTACAGTAGTTCTTGCGCCCAGCCAGTAGTGAGCAGTAGAACTTTACAACAGAACACTCAAGCCCCCCAGCCCCCCCAGCAGTATATTCACATCCTCACAACTTGCTCCTTAGGCCACTGAAAAGTTGTGAAAAATGCACCAACATCACTCTGGCATTTAACAGCAGCTGCAAAAATGGAAACTGAAACTACGAAGGAGTAGAATTCTCCTCAGTGTAGCGCACCTAAGTGTACCCACCGCCATTGTTGTTTACGTTTGTTCTCAGCTACTGCGCATACTTCAAATGTACGTGTGTGGAAGTGGGGGTCATAGCAGGCAGAGAATTCCCACCTTTTTCTTCACGCGGGTGTGAAACAGCCCCCAGCTGAACAGCCTATCTGAGGGGCCGTTTACACGAAGACAATGTGGCAGTAAAACGCTATAGTTGGATGTCGGTTGCTACCAACCGTTCATACGGAGACTGTGTTCCAGGGGAGTGAAAACGTAAGTGTTCAGATCCAGCCTGCAGAGTGGGACAGCTCAGATACGCTGCTCAGCGGGGATCTTTTTCACACCTGCGTGAAGAAAAAGGTGGGAATTCTTGAGCTGACCCCCACCTCCCCGCTGCTCCCTGCACGTAAATTTGGACATGCGCAGTAGCGGAGAACAAACGTAAACAACAATGGCGGCGGGTACACTAACTTGCTTCGTGGGCTTCGAGGGCTGCACAGAGAAGGATTGTACTCCTTCGTTTGTCCAAACGAGACCACGCAAAGCTCTAGGTCAGTTTCCATGTTCACAGCTGCTGTTAAAACGCAGAATGATGTTGGTGCGTCTGGCAGAGGAAGGGAGTATACTGCCGGTGGGGGCTGGGCATGGGGCTGGGGGTCACGTGTGTGTGTTGTAAAGTTCCTCTGCCCACTACTGTCCGGGCGCTAGAACTACATCGTTTTTGATCCTTGAATGAACGCTGTGAAATTTGCATTAGGAGCCTGGCCGTTTCTGTTGATAGCCTGGCAACGTCTGCGCAGCGTCTCAGTATAAACCGGGCCTGAGCTGTTCCAGTCTGTAGGCTGGTTCTCAACGCTTACGTTCTCACCCCCCTGAAGCACAGTCTCCATGTAAACGGGAGGCTAAACTTATACCCAACTCTAATATTTTACTGTTGCAGCGTCTCTGTCTAAACGGGGCCAATTCTAATGTGGGAAAAGTCAAGAGTTAAGCACTTTACAGTCGCAATAAAAAGTCACTGACCTGCTTTGCCATGTGCGTCTCTTCCTCACGCCGCCTCATTCTCGACCCGGCCTCTGGTCCGGCCTCTGGTCCGGCCTCTGGTCCGGCCTCTGGTCCGGCCTCTGGTCCGGCCTCTGGTCCGGCCTCTGGTCCGGCCTCTGGTCCGGCCTCTGGTCCTTCTTCCATCATAGAGCTGTATCAAAGGTCTGCAAATCCAGATTTGTCCAATGCAATCATATTATAAAGCTGAGGTACACACGATTAAAGCTGGGTTATGTAACATTAAAGCAGGGGTCAATAACTTTAAAGCTGGGATATGTACATTTCAAACCACAACACAACCTATGTCTCTAGTTCCTGCTCTAAAATATTTGTTTCCAGCACTAGTTTTCACATCATGTATTGTTGGCCTCTGTCAAATCTTTAGATCAGCTTTCTCACACAAATAACGGGGGGAAAAAGAGGACCACTCTCACTCAGCTTATCAGTATGGCTCTTTCTTACACAAGATGAGATGAAGACGTTGTGGTCAGATCTGATGTCATTTTACCTTAACAAGACTCTTTCAGCTGGACAAAGGACATGTTATTTATGGCACTAAAGTTACGTACCCCAGCTTTAACTACTTACCTTTTGTCTAAATTATAACAAAAATATTAAATAGAGTTTTTAGTTATTTCTCCTACGTTGACCACAAAACAACTTTGCACACTGAACTCGTCCATATTTATTCTATCAGAGAACTTAGAAAGAACTTACCAGCTAACCTGCCAAACAAATAGCCGCGGGTCCTGGACACTTGCGCAGACACGGACTCACGGATTTTCAAATCACAAAGAAATCGGAGAAATCAAAGAAATTACGAACCACAACAAACTGCAAACCCACTCTGCCGCGCTTTACGGCAGTGTTCACGACACGCGCTGGGCTCAGAAGGTTAGAGGACAGCGCCCCCCCGTGGAGCTGCACCCACACTGTGTACGGTCTATGGGCACGTGACATACCGCGCCAGACATGGACAGACCTGGACAGACTGCGGCTGGGACAGGGACACTCACTAACTTACTCACCTGAACTATTTATTGTAGTGGTAGGGGAAGCTTGAGCACCAGCAGAGCCGCTGATGCACTGGTAATTGGCTCCTCGATTGTTAGAGGTGTTAAGATCCCAGGAGCTACTGTACAGTGCTTCCTTTGGGCCAGGCTGGGTGATATTGAAGGGAATATGTTATTATTGTTATTCACGCGGGTGTCAATGACGTTGCCACCGCAACGACGCAAACTTCGAATAAATCACAGTTCATGATGAGGGCCTTCTTCTCTTTCTTAGTTTTAAAATCTGACTTGTATGTGTATTACTCTCATCTGTATGTTTTTTAAATGTGAAGCGCTTTGTGATCCTGGTCTGTGAAAGGCGCTATACAAATACACTTTTCTCACTAACTTACGCGACAGGGATGTGTGACTTTCATCTATTGCTTTGTAAATCTGTGGCAGGCCCTGCACTGCGTAATTACGCACGGCTATTTGTTTTTCCTCATACCGAAGTGAAGTTGGCCGAACGTTTGATATTCGCCTGATATTCGCAAGGGACCGTCTGCAAATTGCAAGAGGTCAAAACGACTAATAAAGACTAAAAATCAACAAAGACAGATTTCCCAGTTTTGATGGGTGTAGTAGCTCCCAATGAACAATAGCTAGCTACTACAGGCAAGAATTTGGGAAAAATATTGTTTTCCCCTTCACAGTAACGAAAATGAAATTGGAAAAAAATACTAAAAATCAACAAAGATATTTTCCCCAGTTTTGATGGGTGTAGTAGCTCCCAATGAACAATAGCTAGCTACTACAGGCAAGAATTTGGGGAAAATATTGTTTTCCCCTTCACAGTAACGAAAATGAAATTGGAAAAAAATACTAAAAATCAACAAAGACTTTTTTCCCAGTTTTGATGGGTGTAGTAGCTCTATTTGAACAATAGCTAGCTACTACAGGCAAGAATTTGGGAAAAATATGGTTTTCCCCTTTACAGTAACAAAAATGAAATTGGAAAAATTCACTAAAAATCAACAAAGAATTTTTTCCCAGTTTTGATGGGTGTAGTAGCTCCCATTCAATGATAGCTAGCTACTACAGCCAAACTTCTGGGAAAAATATTGTTTTCCCCTTCACAGCAACAAAAATGAAATTGGAAAAATTTACTAAAAATCAACAAAGATATTTTCCCCAGTTTTGATGGGTGTAGTAGCTCCCAATGAACAATAGCTAGCTACTACAGGCAAGAATTTGGGAAAAATATGCTTTTCCCCTTCACAGTAGGAATAATGATATTGGCCTGACACACTGTATTACAGACTATATCCTCTTCTGTGTGAATAACACTGTACCAACTAAGAAGGTACGGTGTTTTTCTAACAACCACCCATGGATGACCTCTGAGCTTAAAGCCCTCCTGAACCTCAAGAAAAGGGCTTTCATCTCAGAGGACAAAGAGTAGCAGAAGAGGATCCAGCACAAGCTCCAGTGGAGGATCAGGAGGGCCAAGAGGGAATATGGGAAAAAGCTGGAGCAGAAGCTGGCCCAGGGAAACGCCCGTGACGTGAGGAGAGGCCTAAAGAACATCTCTTTCTGTGGACAAAGGGCCAGCGGGACAGATGAATTTAACCAATTCTTCAACCGGTTTGATTCTCCCCCCTCTCCATCTGCCCCCCCTCCCGCCCCCACCTCTTCACACGTCCCCAGCCCAGTGGACACCGCCCAGTGGACACTGCCTTTGGCTGCCCTGGGCCCTTCTGCCCCCACATCCCCGCCCCCCACCTCTGACAATACACCCCAGTCTTCCCCCCTCTCCATCACACCGGACCCGGTGAAGAGTCAGCTCCAGCGACTGAAGCAGTGGAAATCCGCAGGACCGGACGGGATCAGTCCCAGGCTGCTGAGGACCTGTGCAGACCAGCTCTCTGGGGTCCTCAGCTACATGTACAACCTGAGCCTCAGCCTGGAGAAGGTCCCTGTCCTGTGGAAGCCCTCCTGTGTGATCCCGGTTCCTAAAACACCGCAAGCCAAGGAACCGGCTCACTACAGACCAGTCGCACTGACCTCCCACCTGATGAAGACCATGGAGCGGCTCATCCTCACCCATCTCCGCTCCGTGGTCAGCCCCACCCTGGACCCGCTGCAGTTCGCCTACAGGCCCAACATCGGAGTAGAGGACGCCGTCATCTACTTCCTGCAGCGGACGCTCTCCCACCTGTAGCCCGCCGGGAGCGCTGTGAGGGTCATGTTCTTCGACTTCTCCAGCGCTTTCAACACCATCAGACCGGCACTGCTGCAGGGGAAGATGGAGGACGCGGGAGTGGACAGTAGCCTCACTGCATGGACCATCAACTACCTCTCGGACCGACCACAGTACATGCGGCTGCGCAGCTGTGAGTCTGAGGTGGTAGTCTGCAGCACTGGGGCCCCTCAGGGCACTGCAGAAGTTCTCCGACGACTCCGCCATCGTGGCCTGTGTGTCTGAGGGGAACGATCTGGAATATCGGTAGGTTATCACAGACTTTGTCGACTGGTGTGAGCGCAACCACTTGTGCTTGAACACCAGTAAGACCAAGGAGATGGTGATCGATTTCAGGAGGAAACCACTTTCCCACACGCCTCTGAACATCCAGGGGGAGGACATTGAGCTGGTGGACAGCTTCAAGTACCTGGGTGTTCACATTAACAATAAACTGGACTGGTCCCATAATAAAAACGCCCTGCACAAGAAGGGCCAAAGTCGCCTCTTTCTTCTGAGGAGGCTGAGGTCCTTCGGAGTGAGCAGGCCTCTGCTTAGGACCTTTTATGACTCTGTGGTAGCATCTGCCATTTACTACGCTGCCGTGTGCTGGGCCCCGGGTAGCACAGAGCAGGACAGAAACAGACTGAACAAGCTGGTCAGGAGGACCAGCTCCACTCTGGGCTGCTCCCTGGACTCTGTGGAGGAGGTGAGGGACAGGAGGGTCTAGTCAAAGTCACCTCCATCATGGACAACACCTCCCACCCACTGCACAGGACTGTAGAGGAGCTGAGGAGCTCCTTCAGTGGAAGACTGAGACACCCTCAGTGTAGGAAGGAGCGCTACCGCAGGGCCTTTATCCCCACCGCTGTCAGACTGTACAATAAGTCACTTTAAGTCACCTGTATAAGACTGAAAAAAAAAAACCTGCACTACTACTATTGACACTATATCTGACTGCCACGGGTAGCACAGAGCAGGACAGAAACAGACTGAACAAGCTGGTCAGGAGGACCAGCTCCACTCTGGGCTGCTCCCTGGACTCTGTGGAGGAGGTGAGGGACAGGAGGGTCTAGTCAAAGTCACCTCCATCATGGACAACACCTCCCACCCACTGCACAGGACTGTAGAGGAGCTGAGGAGCTCCTTCAGTGGAAGACTGAGACACCCTCAGTGTAGGAAGGAGCGCTACCGCAGGGCCTTTATCCCCACTGCTGTCAGACTGTAAATAAGTCACTTTAAGTCACCTGTATAAGACTGAAAAAAAAAAACCTGCACTACTACTATTGACACTATATCTGACTGCCACTTTAAATTGCCACTTTTATTGTACATATATATCCTGCATGTAACATGTTTGCACATTTCCTCCTTTTGCACAATCTGAGTGTTTCTATCCATGCCAAACATGTAAATTTCTCCTTGTGAGATAAATAAAGCATATCTTATCTTATCTTATCTCTGAAAAATTAACTAAAAATCAACAAAGACACTTTTCAGGGTTTTGATGGTTGTAGTAGCTCCAATTGAACAGTAGCTAACACTTCAAACAAGGAAGCTCTCTGGCTCTCACAGACCTGTAACTTCTTCTTTAAGAAGCTCTCTTTACCTGTAGTAATGGCACCTGTTATCTCGTACAGAACCCGTTATCTGTATAAAAGACACCTGTCCACAGCCTCAAACAGTCAGACTCCAAACTCCACTATGGCCAAGACCAAAGAGCTGTCGAAGGACACCAGGAAAAGAATTGTAGACCTGCACCGAACTGGGAGGAGTGAATCCACAAT